AAGGGGAATGCGGAGAGGGTTTTGAGCGTGCCCTATAGCTATACGCCCAGGAGTTGGGCGGGGGATCCGGGGACTTTCTTGTAACTATTGCAGCAAAAAAAAGAGATATCCTCGGGCGACCGAGCGGCTGCGCTACTCAGGCAGCCTCCCTGCCTCAGCTGTTACAGGCACCACCCACCGACCAGTCTCGACGACGAGCCGCGGCAGGGCTCGCTGCGCCGCTGCACAGCTTTACGCCACAACACAACATATCATCCAACGTAACCTCTCCCTTAGTGACCCACCCTTGCGGGCTCAGTTGCCGCATTAGGAGCCTTCGCACCGCGAGTGCGCTCAGGTGGGATCCACAGAGAGAGAGGTTCCATACACAGCCGCACTCTACACACCTTACCCCCTCTACTCGGGCGGCATCGTGGTGAGACCCTGGGCAGTCAGAGAGGCTGACAGTAAGTGGCGGGCTGAGAACTCGGGCCTCTCCCGACCCGCCATCGCTGCCTAAGGGAGGATCCTATCGGCCACTAGACCATGACAGATCAGAGGCGCACACGCCCTGTCCCAGCTCCCCCACTCCTCACACTGGGTTTGCAGTGCGCGGCCTCGCCACCTCCCTACCAGGGCAAACCCCCTCTCTCCCCCTAGGTGCGGCACTTGACGTCCATAGAAGGCGCGCGGCAGAGGCGGGAGGGAGGCGGGGAGAATCTAGCTCGCTCTGGCAGGGAGGCAAGGGTGTGATAGAGAGTGTTTGGGTGAGAACAGGCGGAGTGTGTGTGCCTGTACGCGATTGGGAGAGCACTTGTGACGAGGCATGGTTAGGCGAGTGGCAGTCGCTAGTGCGGACTTGCTAAGTCGTGTGTGCTCCCTTTTGCTTGCTAAGACTGGAACATTTTTTTTACAAAAAAACTCGCCTTGGGCGGGGGGCTAAAGTAAACTCTCTCCCTAGCTCTCTCCCGCGGATGGGAAACATTTCGGGCCACACGACACGAGGCCCCGTCTACAGTCAGTTCCACAGGGGCGCTATCCTACCTGCGTACTATCTTGTACTTGCGGCGGCGACATACACTACAGCGTGGTCCGGCGGCGACGACTACCCCTGGAGCAGCGCGAGGAGCTCGCGCTTCAGCAGCGGCACCAGCAGGCCCTCGCGCTCGAGGAACATGGGCACGTTGTGGTGGAAGGTGTCGTGCTCATGCAGGGCGAGCCCCGGCGCGTGCGCGACGAGCCGGGCCTGCATCATGTCGACGGCGTTGCCCGCGCCGACGTGCACGGCCGCACGGCCGCCTCGCGCGTGCATCACCGCGAGGGCGTGTCGCACGCGCGCGGTGCACGCGCGCCTGGGCTCGGCCGGCACGTGCGCGCCGTGCGTCAGGTCCAGGTCCACCCGCGGGCCTATGAGACACTTCCTAGACACTTCCTGGACACTTCCTGGACACGTCAGGCGCAGGTCCACCCGCGCGCCAAACGAGACGGCGCGGTGGCCGAGGTGCGCGTGCAGCAGCGCGGCGGTGCCGCCCATCGAGGAGCCGACGAGGAGGACGCGCGCGTAGCCGGCCGTGTGGGCTCGGATGAGCCGCTCAAAGTAGCGTACGCCGCCCCACCCGCCGGCTGGGTCCTGCAGGTAGTACGAGTTTGACGGGTCGGCGAGGTAGAGGGCCTAGAAGGTTGCTAGAAGGTTCCTAGAAGGTTCCTAGAAGGTTGACGGGTCGGGCGAGGAAGAGCGCGTCCACGGCCACGCCGGCTGCGCGCGCGGCGGCGCACGGCGCGGCCCACTGTTGCATGCCGGGGCCCTGGGCGGCGAAGGCGACGAGGAGGACGTCACCTAGAAGGTTCCTAGAAGGCTCCTCGAAGGCTCCTACGAGGTTCCTCGAAGGCTCCTAGAAGGCGACGAGGAGGACGTCACCTCGCACGCCCGCCGCCATCGGCTCGAAGAAGTGGTCGGTTGTCGCGAGACGGTCGGTGAGGACGTCGCGCAGCGCCGCAGGCGGCGTCCCGCGGTTCCAGCCGAGGCCGATCCGCGCCGCGCCTATGAGACACTTCCTAGACACTTCCTAGACACTTCCTGGACACGTCCCAGCCGAACCCGATCCGCGCCGCGCCGGAGTGGCCGGAGGAGGTGACTGCGCGGGCTGCGCTGCCGCTCAGCTCAGAGGCCAGCTCTGACGCCTCGGCGAGGTCGAAGGCGTTGGCGCCGAGGGCGAGGTTCTGCAGCGGCAAGTGACGCAGCACCCTCTGGCGCAGCGCGGCCAGCGACCCTCCGAGCCTGTTGGACTGGAGGTAGAGCCCCTGCAGCCGGGGGAGCGCGCCTATCAGACACCTCCCAGAGACCTCCTCGACACCTCCTAGACACCTCCTAGACACTCGCAGCCGGCGGAGCGCGCCGAGGGCGGCGGGCAGCTCCGCGAGGCGGTTGTGGTGCGCCTGGAGGACGGTGAGCGATGCGCACTGACCCAGCTCCGCGGGGAGGCAAGTCAGCAAGTTGCCTGAGTCGGCACACGGTGTGAGCCGGGCGTGCGAGATTACCCGAGATCACCCGAGATTACCCGAGATTACCCGAGATTGGCCGAGATTGGCCGAGGCACACGGTGCGAGCCGGGCGTGCGAGCGGGAGGGAGGAGCGGGAGGAGTGGGGGAAGGGCGCGCAGTGGGCGTGCGTGGGGCAGGGACGGGGGCGGCTGTCGGCATGGCGGGCGGCGGCATGCAAGGCGGCGGCATGCAAGGCGGCGGTCTGGGCGGCGAGTGGCGGACGGCCGACGGCCGGAGGGGCGGGAGGGGCGTTGGGGGGAGGGGCGGGGCAAGTTGGCACGCGCACGGCGCGGCGGGGCGTCGTGGGACGGCGTCAGGGGCGGCCAGAGGCGACGCGCGCCGTGCAGCCACAGCTCGCGAAGCTTGTCCAGCCGAGATTACCGAGATTACCCGAGATCACCCGAGATTACCGTGCAGCCACAGCTCGCGAAGCTTGTCCAGCCGAGATTACCGAGATTACCCGAGATTACCCGAGATTACCGTGCAGCCACAGCTCGCGAAGCTTGTCCAGCCGGCCAATCGCCGCGGGCAGCTCCGAGAGCCGGTTGCCCTCGAGGCAGAGCTCGGTGAGCCGCGTGAGGTGGGGGAGCACCTGTTCACGGCTCGAGGTGTGAAGAGGCGCTGTTCACACCGCAGAGGCGGTGAGGTGGGGGCAGCGCCTCCGCCACGCAAGTCACGCCGTTGCAGCCCAGGTGGAGCTTCTTGAGCGAATGGCCATGCTGCGCTAGCCTAACGTGCCTTTACGCCAGCCTCAGGGCGGGAAGACGGTCTTGTGCGGCGTCTTCAGAGCACCGCGTGAAGACAACGGAGAGGAGGACAGCGGAATACGTGGCCCTCTCGGGCGCTGGTTGGGAGGCAAGAATCCGTATTCCGCTTCTAGGTGGTCGAGCATGCGCGGGGCGGCACCAAGCCGGTTGTACGAGGCCAGGAGCGCAGTGAGCACCGTCGCGCGCGGGTGCAGCGGTGGCAGCGCGGTCTGACCGTTTGCCTCGAGCTCAAGCACAGTCAGGCTGGGCGATGCGAAGCCCGCGCCGGCTGCCTCCTCCGCTGCTGCGTCCGCTGCAGCATCGTCCTGATCACCGACTGCCACCGCCGCTTCCGCCGCCGCCGCCGCCGCCTCCGCTGCGCCGGCCTCCACCGCCGCTGCTACG